TGCAAGAAAAAAACAATCAAGTCTTATACAATTTTAAGTTAACAGTGAGGAGGATATATAAAGTTCTATTCTTAATTTTATATGAAAACAAAGATTTATTTTGTAATTGAGGGTTTTATGAGGTTTTTCTGCTTCCTGCTCCTCGTCTCTTTCATGTAGATGAATTTTTACAAGACGATGCTTTTGCACGTTAGTGATGAAATGTGCTTTGAGTGAATAAACATATTGACGCAACATAATGATTTCTTCAGCTTCTATCATCAGTACAACTCCTCCTCCATGTTTTTTTTTTTTTCTTTTTTACCAAAAATGTCTATCGTTTTGTGAAACTGCTTCCGTTTAGGGTTTACGTCAACTCCTCACTCGTCCCGTTCCATAAATCTGCCCCACTCACTCCTCCGTATTGTACAAACAGTTAAACTGTGTCTCTCCCTCAGCTGCCAAATATTTGTTGAACATTTGAAACATAAGAGCTGGTTTATATTTAATGCAAAATTTTTTATTTTTTACTATTTGAGAAGCCGATCAGCAGTCTGTCTGGCCGAATGATCAGTTCATCATTAACTGACACAATTAAGTGAACGGAGGATAAAAAGCTGAATGAAACCAGCATGGTGCCGTCTGCATTCATCATGTCAGGATTTCTGCTGCTTCTTTCGTTCCCGAAACATTAACCCGTCCGTCCTGCATGTTTCTGTTCTCTCTGCAGCGCTGTCGGAGAGCGTGAAGACGTGCGGGTCAGAAGCTCTGGCTCTGCTGGGCCAGATGAAGCAGCGGGACGCCCTTGCGTCAGCCGACGGCAGCAAGCTGAGGGCGTCTCTGGAGGCCATCCTGACCACGGCGGAGGTCCGAGTCGCTCCAATTATCGAGCGTCTGATCTGATCAGCCGTGCGTCGCTATACGTGTCTCGTTCTCGTCTCCAGAAGCTGCGCCCGCGGGGTCTGGAGCTGCAGCAGGGGGAGCTGGGAGATCTGGTGGAGCAGGAAATGGCTGCCACTTCGGCCGCCGTGGAGTCCGCAGCCGCCAGGATAGAGGTGAATGGCTCCGCCTCGTCAGCCACCCCCGATTCACTTCCGAACGGTACCGACTGGAAAATGTCTTTGTTTTTCCCCTCCCCTGTGCCTCTGTGTCCCGACAGGAAATGCTGAACAAGTCCCGAGCGGTCGATACAGGAATCAAGATGGAGGTCAACGAGAGGTAAGTCTCAGATCAGAGGAAGATCGCCGAGCCTGCTGGGAGTTGATTTCTCTTTCAATAAACTGTGGGGCCCTGAGACATGACTGGATTCATGCAGAGCTCATCGTGAGCTGGGAGTAAAAGTCAGTCATTAGGCCCTCTGGCCTGAAACCTTTTAATCACATTTTACCTCTGAGTAAATGGCTTCAGCACCCAAATTATTGCTCAGAGTGCAACATTGTATCAAAACGGCTAAAACTACCTGGGTTCATTTAGTTGTGTATTATTAGCTTAGATCCTGTAACTCGTCAAAACTATGATGGGAGAGTTGGAAAAAAAAAAAAAAAAAAAACTACTGAAAAATATGAGACTATCTCAACTGATTGAGCTGAACAAGACCAGAAACACTTAAACTAGTTAAAGTAGTTTTAAAAACATTCTTCTAAGGTTGCAGCAAAAAAAACTACCTAAATTTTTTGTAAACTAAAAGTGTCAATATTAAAGAGATAATAAGAACTACAGCTACGCATCAGTTGTGTCTAGCAACACTGGGCGAACTGACACATTTTTTTTTTATTCTTCCTTCCTTCAAATCGAGTAATTCTGCTGCATCCCTCACTGGCGTTTTAATCTAGAGTGTTTCTCCAACGCCGTTCATGTTCTGTGCTCTGTCGCCCCCTGCAGGATCCTGGCTTCCTGCACAGAGCTGATGCAGGCGATCAAGGAGCTTATTTTGTCTTCGAAAGATCTGCAAAGGGACATTGTGGAGAGTGGCAGGGTGAGTTTTACGGGGCTCGGTTGTATGGAATTTTAATTTTGTTGTTTTCCAAGCATTTGTGCGATTAAGAAAAGTTTCCACACATAATTTTATATTAAAGTTTTGAAGAAAAAATCCAAATTGAAATGCCTGAAAAGAGGTCGTTACATTTATTTATAATTAGACATCATTTACATTTGTTGGATCATAACTTAGGGTTTTGTCCAACTTGTTGTTTGTTCTGGGCTTTGAACCCACTTCTAGTAGAGCTCTCATTCAAAGTAAATAAACTGATAATTTCCTGAAACTTTTCTAGCATCATTCCTCTCCCCGATCACACACTCAATCAGTAGCTTGAAGCAATCCAACCCTAGATCAGGACAGCTGATCACAGATTGCAGTGTAAAGTTGATTGCAGTGTAATTTGTGCTGAATTATTTTGAACCGTTTTTAAATCTGTGAATCCGAATGGAAACTATAGGTTCTGAATTTAAAATTTTAAAGGAACCCTGGTTTAAATAGCCATCAGGATGTTAAATTATGTTTAAAATAAGACCAAATGGCAGCAGCAAATTTTAATGGACTCTAATTTTTTGCATTTGCTGCAATATATGTGAATTAATTTTAATTGAATTACGTTTAATTGTAGGCTGTTCCTTTGCCTGAGAGTAAATGAGGTGATGAATGTTTCACTGTGTAGCTGCTTTTGCTTTTCTGTCCACCAGGGGGCGGCCTCCATGAAGGAATTTTACGCGAAGAACTCCCGCTGGACGGAGGGCCTGATCTCTGCCTCCAAAGCGGTTGGATGGGGCGCCACGGTCATGGTGTAAGTATGAAAAGACTTCTGTCTGCTCAGTCGGCAGTGTGGGCCGCTGGCCTCGTTCTGAGACTCCTAAATATGCAGAAGCTCATTCAGTGTATAACGAAACTAACGTATTTAGATCATTTTACGAGTGTGTTTAATGTTTAACCTCGTGTATATCCCTCTGGTGTCACCAATGTGCTCTTAAAGCGTCCTCTAGTTCATTTTGAGCTAATTTAGTTGTTTGGTTCCAAGTGACGCTGCCGACATGGTGGTGCAGGGAAAAGGGAAGTTTGAGGAGCTGATGGTGTGCTCCCATGAAATCGCTGCTAGCACGGCACAGCTAGTGGCTGCTTCAAAGGTAAACAGTCAAAACTTCCTTTTTGTCCTGCTTTCTTCACTTTTTTTTTTTTTTTTTTTCTTTTTTTGTTTTTTGCTTTTCACATTTGGATTCTTGTTGGTGGTTGTCAATATTGCCTCTCCTCTCCTGTAGGTGAAGGCAGATAAAGACAGCGCTAACCTGCACCGACTGCAGCAGGCGTCCCGCGGCGTCACCCAGGCAACCGCCACTGTTGTGGCCTCCACCAAGTCTGGGAAATCCCAGATTGAAGATACAGGTGAGAAGTCATCCTAATGACGCCGTTTCTCACCTGCTTGCTTTTTATGAAGTTATTCTTTTTTTTTTTTTTTAAATAAATGTCACAAATTGGAGAAAATGTTCAGTTTTAATTTGTTTAAATGTGCGTCTAGAAACGATGGACTTCTCCAGCATGACTCTGACCCAGATCAAGCGACAAGAGATGGACGCACAGGTAACCTTGAGTAAAACTGACACACTCAGGAAAAATCAAAACAGAAATTTGACACGATCCGATTGCTTTTATTTAACAGAAAAGTAAGCATTCCTGTTGTTGATGCAGTTTTCAGCAAAAACTGCATCAAAAAAAAGAGGTAATTTTCCATAAACTTGCTTGAGCTGAATAATTCAGTACATTAATTCAATAAAATCTTACAAAAACATCATACAATTATTCTTTACCCCTTAACAGATTTCTTTTCTGTTTTTTTTCCCACACTTAAATGTTTCAGCTCAAACAAATGTTAATATAATCCAAAAGTAACCTGAGTAAATGCGAGAGACGTTTTCAAATTCTGATTTCTTTTATTAAGCAACAAAAACTTTCTGTAGCAATTTTTAAGTAGCAGAAAACTGATGAGGAGATTCACCTCAGGATGGCTCAAAAACAACACAAAAAACCCAACAGAATGAAAGTTTTAGAGTGGCCTAGTCAAAGTCTAGACGTGAGATCTTGCGCCATGACTTCAATGCTTGAAAACCCTCCAAAGTGGCTGAAATAAAAATCCCTTCTGAAGTTCTTGTCATTTCTACTTGCAATAAGAAAGAAATCTGTAAGGTTCCTAACACTTTTTTGTTGTTGTTCTAACTGCTAAAAACCCAAGCGCTGAATTGCTAAAGAAATCCTGTTTGTCTTTAGGTTCTGGTTCTGGAGCTGGAGACCCGTCTGCAGAAGGAACGGGAGCGTCTGGGCGAGCTGAGGAAGAAGCATTACGAGCTGGCAGGTGTAGCAGAGGGCTGGGGCGAGGAAGAGGAAGGTGATTAAAAAGAAAACGCAACACAAGGGGGGAACCACATTCCTGGGAAGATTCCTGGAAGTAATGTGGCTTAAATGTTTGAAATTCTTCCTCTTCCTCCTCTGCAGGCACGGGATGAAACCCCCCTCTTCTTCTTCTTCCTCCGCCTCCACCCGAAGACCTTCTCCTCTCCCCCTCTTATTTATAGACACGCTTCTCTGTTTTATTTTCTGCCTTCCCTCACATTTATCTGCTTGTTATATCCAAGCCAAATGAAAAGGTGCTGCTTCTTCTTCTTCTTTTTCCAATCCCTCTCGCTTCTTCGTACACCCCAGCCAGATTCACGGAGGTGCTCCGGCAGCAGGCGGGGGTCAGGATGGAGGAGCGCCGCCTCACTTCTCCGCTGCAACACTCCGTTTGTCTCCAGTCCCCCGTTTTAAATGACTGCGCAGCATCGAGGAGTCGCACAGGACACGAGCACAAGGGGCCCAAACTCTCGGAGAGCAGGGGTGGATCACAGTGTCTCCATGTAGCTTGGCTGCTGTGCTTGCTCTTCTGTCCACCGATGCGCGTGTGCTACGTCACGAGCTGAATCAGCTGAAGGAGCTTCCTCCACGCGGTTGCTCCCCAGTTTTCTTCCTCTTCTGTTCTCACTGTGACTTAAAGTCCGTTCGGCTTCCGGGCTTCCTGCCTTCCACGTCCTCGCCATTATAACGACCAGGACTGTTAAGCTGAACGACTCTCATCCCTCCACTTTATTTTTACTGTACCGGATAAAATATAATCGGCATAATGCCGACTATATACGGACAATCCACACCCTCATAATGAGGGTGTGGATTGTCCGTCGTCGGAGGTGGAGGTTGCTGCACAAAACACTAACAAGACGTTTTCTTTTTTTTTTTGCAATGTATTTATAAATCGGAATGATACAAAGTTTGATATTTCATTGACATTTAATTGCATCGGTTCAGATCTGGGATCCAATCACGTGAAGAGACGAAGCGCGTCTTCAGGAACTTTCTGATCATTTAGAGGAATCTGCACAAGAAGCATTTGTTTTCAAACATTTCATCACCTCCACAGTACAAAAACGTCGGTGCATTAACGGATTCCTTAAGACCGTGTAGCTGTGGGCATAAACTCCAAGCCATTTGCTGTCGCAAAGAACTGTTTGCTTTTCTTTCTACACAAAGATCCGGTGCACCTGAACGCCACGCGCCTTTTGTTCCCATGCGTCTCTCTGCTCAGACTAATGAAGCGACTCTTTAAGTTGGACTCTCCAAGAAGAGCAGGCGCTTTATTTTGTGGTTTCTCTTTCGCGATTCTAGCCAACACCTTTTTACCTTCCTCCTGTGTGTTCACGCCAACGATGATTCTGTGTCTTAACGCTCAGCCTCACTAGATGCTGTTGGGCTTTTGTTTTTTTGTTCTTTTTAACAGACGCTGCTTGGTTTGAATTAGATAATTTTTCTTCCACGTAAAGAGAAAACAGCGAGGTAGTCGGAAGAAAAATAAGTTTCTATTGCCATCTGCTGCTCCAACCAGGTTAAAGCAAGCATCATTTACTGTACTGTTACTTCCAGGTTGTTGTATTTAATCACAGTTTTAGCTGATTCACCTGGAGAATGATATACATAGTCCAGAAAAAAATGGATGGAAATCTCCTTACAGTGGTATCTCAAGTGTCTTGAAAGGTAAAAGTGCACACAACTTGAGTGATTTGGTTTTCACCCTTTATTCGTTGCTCACATGCTTTTTATTGATTAACTTTTTCCTTTTTTTTTTTCTTTGGTCCCTTTATCATTTTGGGGTTTGTCTGTAGATCCACCAGCTCAGCCAGCCTTTTCAAACTGCCTCATACTGTAGTCGGAGACAGATACTCGCATAGCAACATTGAAATATGTCTTTGTATGATATTATACTAAACCAGTGTTGGTGGGTGTGTTTTTATTTTTCCAGTTTTTGAAATAAATACTTTGATTCATTAATACAGACTGACGACTGAATGTAGTGGCTTTCTTTCCCCCCCTCAAATAAGTGTTCAACCATTGAACCTTTTAGCTTTAGCTGCCACCAGACTGAAAACTTAATAAAACTCGGAAATTCTGTTTTTCAGAAGAGAAAAGACGGAAAACGGATTCTTAAGATAGAAATGTGATGTTGTTGCCGACATCGCATGTGTCGAATCTGACCCGCTGTAGCTTATGTGGCTTTCTAGACTCCAAATTACATCAATAAGACCCTCCAGTTTTTCCACAGATCCACAATAATTCACACAAAATCAACAGATTCCCAAATTCTTTTTGATTTTACTGACATTTTCTCTTCAAAATTGGTGAAACTTTGGGTTTGAGTGACAGCCGCTTCAGCCTTACTTCATGTCAAGTTATCTGTGACCGATACGATGAATAAAAAGTCACACTTAACATCACACATTAGTGCAAATATCGTAAAAAGTGTTTAGAATTGTTCCTAAATTAGCGCTGCGAAATCTGGTTTTGAATCCTAATAAAAAAAATCTCTAAATCCTGAATGGACTGAACAGTGTGGAAAAAATGCTAAATATTTTATTTCAAGAAACACTTATTGAATGGTGAAACTATTAATATTTTTAGCAATTTAATGGGTTTTATCAATACATTCTGGCACAACCGGCCCTTTAAGAACATTCAGGTGTTTGATATTATGGCCCAAAATGAGTTTGACTCCCCGGGCCTACAAAGTTATTAGGAAGACTGCTGACTTTGCTCATTGGGACATTCAGAGCAGCAGAAATTGTTAGAGCTTCATGGCAAAGGCTTGAATATTTACGTAAATGCTTTCTATTTTTAAAACATCTGCAAAAAAAATAAACCACAATGGGGTATTTGTTGGTAGCATTTTTGAGATTAACTAAATACAATTTAGGATAAGGCTGTAAAACGAAACCCTGTGACTACTTTCCAGACGAACTATAAACATGAAGAAAAGAGGAAACCCTAGTATTTTTTTTAAATGTTTCACTGAAGACAAGGAAAGAAGTCAGTAAGACTGTTTAATTTCTAACTTTAGTTGTAAAAACATTTAGTGAGATGCAAGGACTCTGCTTGCAAGAAGTGCCACAAAAAGCAAGCGGGAGGAATTGGCATTGGTGAGGAAAACTATCTTTGAGTGTGCAAGCTCGTTTTAAAAATCCTCTCGCCAATTAATGGTTGCTCCACATTATTCCAAATATAAGGAAATGTCCTTCAATCGAACATTTTTTATTATTTTTTTTCCCTTTATGCTGAGAGAGGAGGTAGAGTGTACAGAGCGGAGCGGTGACGTTTCCCTCCGTGCTGCTGTCCTGTCGCAGGCAGAATGTGCTGGGTGTTGCCTGCAAGGAAGGCAGAGCCTCAACTATTTATAGCCTCTGCAGTCCGGAGCTCAGCGTCCTTACAGCAGGTCTCCTGGCAGCAGTGAGTCTCGACACAGATTCAATAAAGAATGCTGAAAAAAAAAAGTATCCAGATTCCTTAGAACTTTTTCACCTCAAGCTTCAATGTATTTTATTGGATTTTATTTGACAGACCAACACAAAGCTTTCAAAAATGTTGCATATATCTTTAATCTAGTCCAGGTTATTGCCTTCACAACTCACCTGATTGTTCGAGGATGTTGTATAACCCACCTTTTACGTCAAGGTGTTGGATGATTTATTTATTTATTTTTTTTCCAGGGGCTCATGAAGTAACAAACGGCATCATAAAGACCAAGAAACATGTCGGGCAGATCAGAGAGGAAGTTGTGAAGAAGTTTATGGAAACTCTCAAAGAGCACAGTTTAGTTCATCATTCTATAAATAGTGTGACACAACTGCAAAGCTGCTAAATCACTGTCATCCATCTAAACTGACAGGCAGGACATCGGGATTAATCATCAGTGAAGCAGCCAACAGGCCCCATGGTTACGCTTGTGGACCTGCAGGTGCCAAAACATAATTCGTTGTTGGGGGAGGCCAAAAGAGTTCCTGTTTGCAGTTTTCCATGAGCCATAGGGAGTAGGACGCAGCAAACCTGAGGAATAAAGTGTTTTATTCAAATGAAACCAAAATGTTGCGTTTTGGCCTAGATGCAAAATCCTGTGTGGCTAAAACATGGTGGTGGCAGCATCATGTTGTGGGAATACTCTACTTCTGATGCAACAGAGAAACACAAAAGACTTGAGTCAGGGGGCTATAACACAAACACAGTAGCGTAATCTGAATCATTTTTGCCAAAGAGTTGAGTTATCCAGGTTTAAGTTTTGATCCAGACCTAAATGGTGCATTTTCTGCTCCAAAGCAGCTAGATTTATTTATTTGTTTTGCTATCTTTTAAATCGAACTCAATCTGCAGTCAGGCTTATGAGAAAATCCGACTTCTTGGAAGAAAATGCAAACAAAATATATATATTCTTGGCCTTCATTGTAGATTATAGTTGTGTTTTTACTGAGAAACAAAGGAGGTCAGTGAACCCTTTCACTGTGCAGGCAGCACAGCAGAAGAAAACCACAAAGCATGTTATTCCTCTGATTAGCCAAAGTGCATTGAGAAGGTTTCTGTGACAAAACCCACCTGCCAGTTTCCTTTGTGCCAAAGCGTCCTACTGACCTCCAGAGGCTTGTCACAACGGAGTACCCGCCTCGTGATCACGTACCGCAGCACAGGGTGGGCTTAAGTGCTGCTTTCTAAAAATACATGCTTTTACCTTCCAGCTGACATAAAATTCTTCCTGCAGCTGTTTTTGCGATCCAGGAAACGTTTGACAAGAAGGCGACTCTTCTGGTCCGCTGTTGTTAGGCTTGATGGAATAGTGGGTGGATGCACCGGGTTCTGCTTCAGACTGATTTTCCTCATATTTGAATTGCTTTTTTTTTTTGTCCACCTAAGTGGAGTTTCTTCCACTTGTTTTGATCACGTTGTGCTACAAGGTTCTGTTTTAGTGTCTTGAGTTGTTCCATTACATCTACTTCCACTTCAGCACATTTTGACCATGTTTTGGAGACGATGTGCATCGCTGCTATGCAGACGATACTCTGGTGTATATCTCTTCTACAGAGAAGCAAATAGTCATCAAATTTTCCTTTCATTTGTATCGGATTTAATATTTTCTTTGATAATACTTAGTCATCTGTCAGATGTTGACTCAATGAATCATAAGAATCAAAAGTCATTTCTTAGGTCACGGCTTACTGGGAGGATGCTTTGAATGTTTGTAGATTTGCTTTGGTTTGTGCTGTCCGTTGAGCTGAAACTCACAGGACATTTACCTCTGCATCTCACAGCTGATTATAAAGCTGCGAGGTATTGAAGCAGAAGAAAAACAGCTGAGTCACAAGAGGGTTGAGGAGGGATTTGCATGAGAACTAACAAACAAATCGTCACTGCAGAGTGCAGCAGGGGACCCAGAGTCCTGATGCGTTTCTTAGAGAAGAAAACCTTCCACTGCATGATCCGATTCGCAAGAAAGCAGAGAGGAAAAAACAAATCTCCAAAGAGCCGAAGCGTCATCTTTCCAGTGCGACTGTCAACTGGCTGAGTGGACGCAGGATGTAAGTGTCTGATCACTCCTGCTGTTTGGTGGGGTTTTATTTATCCTAACCAGACAGCCGGTCCTTTGAACAGCAAGTGTCATCACTCAGGCCAGCCTCACTGTAGCTCTTTGAACCAATGTTTTTGTGCCGGCCGGCTCATTGTACTCTGGCCTCGGATTGAATGGCTGACACAGATATGAGGTCACAGCGTGAGGAGGAAAAGAAAGCAACCTTCTCTATCCACTGAAGGCCCTGTGGGCACTTCTGCCCAAGTAAACAAAAACAGCAGGTGTCGCCGGTCAAAAGGAAAAGGCTCCTCGTTGATTTCCAATACTTACTGTAACCTATCTGTACTGTCGTTTTTCATCGTCATTTTAAATAGAAGTTGCCCTCCGTTGAAAAGCTGAGAGGATGTTTGTGTTCTTGTGATCTGTAAACAGACCCCAAGGAAAATAATTAGGCTGTTTGCACAATGCATCTGGAAAAGTTAATTAAAGCAATTAATCAGGGACAGAGGCATCATAACAGGTCTAGTAGCTGGTATTGTTGCAT